AGTCACGTGATTACCCATCCCTGATTGTTAGATCAGTAAGAGATTGCTCGATTGGACAGCATTTAGCACGAGCAGCATAGGTCTTGCTTGACTATTTTTCAAGAGACTGTTGTGCATACAACTCGTTTTTACGGTTCTATGAAGTTTTCAAGAGGATGAAAATAATAATCTTAAGCAGTATTCAGGGAGAGTACGTCGCACCAGAAAAGATCGAAAGTGTCTACATACGCGCACCGTGTGTTCAACAAATTTTTGTGGATGGAAATTCTTATGAAAGGTACTTTGATGAAGCAACAATCCGTTTTCATGCTGTGAACGAAATTGATATCATGCTTCTGATTTCTACCGATTTGAGGGTGTTCTGAGTGCGCATAATCTGAGATATAAGATCTGCGTTCATTATTGATCGCATAAAAATACTTTTAAGGGAGAGATGGCGGTAGATTAATGAATTAAATAACTTCAACAATTTCTTCGAGTTTTTTGCGAATCACATACTGAAAATTGAATGTTGTAAACTCGCTTGAGTGTATATCTGACGAAAATTTCACGTAACGATTCGAAAAAGCGTCTTCATTTCGATGAACATTGAAATCTGACGTACTTCATCAAATTTTGATGCTTTGCGGAACAATTGCCGAGTGTCATCTACAATTGAACAGTAAATATTGAGATTCGCAGATATCTGATAGCGATCGTTGTTCCTGACGAAGATGCGATAAAGCAGTGGTTAAGAGAGAATATCACCAGCAACGGCAACACTTATGAGCAATTATTGAAAACAAAAGAGGTAATTGTTACATCCTTTTATTTTTGATCGCCACGAAGTGAACACTTTCTTCACCGTGCTACTGAAGTTGAAAAACTTTCATTAATTTTCTGGCTTCAGTAGTTTCCTCCTTTTGTTAATTCGATTATGATACTAATGTTGCACTGCGTTTTTCAAGCGTTGAAAACTTTAGCACCGAAATTAACCACTAAATTCACGTGAGCTTGAATAAGTTTCCCTGCACAAGTGAGAAATCAGTAAGTCTCGATGGAATCCGCGACGTGACTTCGTGATTCATCGGTATATTGGTTATTTCAGGTGCAATCGTACGTTCTGGAACAGTTAACAAAGATTGGTAAAGAGAACAATTTGAATTCAATGGAACAGGTACGTTCTCAACATTTCGTACTTTTTTGTGGAATAAAACATAACTCTGGAATTGAAAGTTTTGTGTTGTTGATCAAGTTTATGCGAAACTTTTCAGATCTGTCGTCTTATCTGAATATGATTGTTTGTTCTCATTGCTTTCATAATATCTTTACTGATAATCGTTTACGCTAAGCCTTCGATGATAATAATTGTTTTCGTATCACTGCGGAGTAAAAGCTCAGAATCATATGGAATGAATTGCAGGTGAAAGCAGTTTATCTGACAAGTACGGCATTCTCGGTCGAGAATGGACTTTTGACACCAACACTCAAAACAAAAAGACCTCAGCTGAGAGCCGTTTATGCAGAAATAATCAAAGATTTGTACAAATCGCTTAATGCACTTTGATCAACTCAATTAACATTTTTGTAATTATTCGCTGCTCATCTTCACAATGTATTGATAATCTCTCGTTCGATGATTCCCCATATTATTTTGAGTGTGTACAATAACTGCGCGTCCAACGACATTCTTTAAAAATTTTTTTCTTGAGCCATTACTGCGGTGTTGTTGATCAGAGAAATTGGTGACGAGATTCGTCTTTGTTGTAATTCTCTGTTTCAGTAATTGAATTCTCTTGACATCCAGTGGAGACATAGCCTTGTACAGTTCCATGTTTGAATGGCGCTCCTCTCCCCCACCCTCCGACCCTCCTTCATTCAGTTTCGTGACCTCAACTCCTTCGATCCTCTCGGATTATATGCGAGTTTTTGCANCTCTCCCCCACCCTCCGACCCTCCTTCATTCAGTTTCGTGACCTCAACTCCTTCGATCCTCTCGGATTATATGCGAGTTTTTGCAGTATCATATGAAAATGTTTCATTCATGTGAGATTTGCTAGTGTTGCATGAAATGCATTCACGAATCAATGATGCTATGATAAGCGAACACTATTCTCCACAATAAAACGTTTATTCGGTTATCAACTGCAAACGATTCTTGCATATGGAATATTCATCTGACAAATGAAATTAATTTACGCATCACTATTCGAATATCATTTCGGATGAAAGATTTCTAAAATAATTCCCTTTTGATTGCAAACAAATTGACAGTATAATTATATGAAATCATACATCATAGAGTCACTCTTTCATATGGATTCAGTCATGCAACACAGCATTTAAAGCACCTGAACAAACAAACGCCAGTTAATTGATCGCTTTTTTACGATACCTGAAACGGACAATCGAATGTCATGAAAAGAGTACTATGTGAAAATGATCAAAAGTATAGAAATTCATTGAACAAAAGTAAAATCCCATAAGTTTTATTTTCGTCGATTAATTTTTTATGAGTTTAATTTGAATTTTGGATTTTTGTTCGTCTTTTTTCATTTAAAATCATGCATTGCTAAAATGAGCGAGAGGGAGTCATTTGCGCTTATGAAAGTATGCAAGCATTAAATCATTGATTGGTTTGACTACTTGGAATTATTCTCTTAAAGTGTCGACGTATTAATCACTCAGTTTTCATCACTGAAAGCATCAAAAAATGATCGATGAATATTCAGCGACATGCAGTGACAATGCAACAGTAATATTCATATATGTACTCAGCTGCCAGATTATGCTCCTCTCTCCAATGTACATCCATTAAACTCGTCATTACAACATCGTTCCAACTCTGATTATCCTCACTCCCAGTTTCCTTTGGACGGATTTATTTATTTATTTCAGAAGTAAAATCCAAACTTTGAAAACAGATATTATTATTATTATTATTAAACTGATCCATTATCAAGTGTTGATATTGCAACATCTTATTCAGAGGAGACACACGGAACTGCATCTCTTTCCCCAACACATTTAGCACTGGTGATATTCCATTCTTCTTAATTCACTCAGTTCCCTCATGAAACAGTCTTAGGAAACTATTATATGTCGAACCTGCGGAACATCCCCGGAAAATCGCCATTATTCAAGGTAATAAGTTTTATAGAATACGGAAGGTATTTAAGTGATGTGCAGAAAAAACACAACGCACACGAAAAACTTGAGCATAGATTCATCAAAACGAGAGAGAGTATCATGCAAACGAATGATATTTATGTAATTAAAGCGAATCTACACATTCAGTAAAGTAAATCTAAATCTAGTAAAATAAAGTACATCTAGTAGAAAGTAAAGTGTAAAGTTTATATCTAAAACTATAAATTCAATAAATATAACTTGAAGTCGTATATATACGACTTTTAAGCTGATCATTTCCTACGGAGTGAAGATACAGTCAAAAAAATGTGCTCCCGGAAATTTGCCCAATCGCTCGCAAAACTCATGAGCGAAGCCGTAATCAGCGTGAGGTGTTGACGAAACGGTAGCAATAAGCAAAAACTTTTAAAGATGTCGTTCAGATTTACAAATGCTGAAAATCTTTTTAAACCGTTTAAGAATTTAATGATAGCATTTAATTGTAAGGCTTAAAAAGAATTTGTGCGATAAAAAGTTATCCATCTCTGTCAGAGTCGTATATAATGTTCGGTTTGTTGGTTCGTGAGTTCCCATTACTGGATGGATGCAGTTCGTCATTTCCTATTTCAGTCTGTTTGCTTGTAACACTTCGTATTGTGTGGGGATCGATCAGTTGTTATTTTCTTGAAATGTTTCAGTTGGTTTCGATCTCAATAACCTTACAACTCTCAACGACACCAGCGAGTACCCTTCTTGATTATAAAGGTCACTCAAATTACAAACCACCCGGTTGGTCGTGTGGTAATAGCGAAATTTTGGAAAGAATCACGTTCCAGGCAGCCGATAAATTTTGTAGAAAAACCACGTGTAAACATTTCGCATTTCTTTTTGCATGTATTCATTTCCTCTCACAATCAATTGTTTCATTTTGAAGTACGCTTTTGAAATGCGATATGCCAAAATTTCTCCTGTTTCTTCATAAAAATCACGCCATCAAAAAGTCGAACTATTGACAGTGGTCAATTTCGATAAATGAGTAAGGTGATTTTTCTTAGAATAAACTGAAGTAAACTGAATGGAAAGTATTTTTTTGAGAACTGGAAGAACGAATGTATTTCTCAAAACAATTGGTTTCACCAATCAATGCTAAAACTGTTTCCAGAGGATGCCTCTCCGAGACGAGATTTGTCCAGAGGATTAGAAAGATAAATTCCACTGCATTTTCAGCTGGGATAGGAGATTGTTGCGACGAACATGATGAATGCTATCGAATTGTCAACAATACGAGAAGTTGCTGTGACACAAGATTTTGTATATGTCTAGTTCAAAAGACCAAGGATGAGTCGTGGTTTCGTTTCTTACCGTGTAGAATGTTCGTCACACTGTCATGCGTGGTCGTTAAAAAGTCATCGGATGACCACTTCAGACCATGTCAGTTGCAATTTCTCTTATGAACCACTTACGTTCTGTCCAGTAAAATAGGCAGTGCTCAATTTTGATAAATCCGTAAGGTGATTTTTGGTAAAGTAAACTGAACGAAAGATATTCTTTCAAGAACTGGATGAAGGATTATATATAAAGAAGAATGTATTTCAAATATGTCAAGAGGAACATTTGTCTCCTCATTTCTTATATCTCAAATTCCACTCATTTGGTCTGCTTTATCGCAGTTAAATTATTCTGAGATCTTCTCCCTGCAAACCCTCCAGTTATTTCAGTGACTTTCAGAAGTTGATCTGAATTTCGATTAGTTTTCTTTATCAATGCATTCGTCGATCTTTTCAGACAAAAATATATCACCAACCTGCCGTTATTGAAGAACTCTATGAATTTTGAACTTGTGGCACCATGGACAACGCTGTATCAAGATCTCATTCAGCCTTGATCAATACTATACAATATTACGATGTTGCTTGTTCAATAAGTAACGAGGATCAGTAATTTATCACGAGAATTGATAAATTTTCATTTAGTTGTCACTTCGTCTGATAAAAATTGTCTACGTTGTAACTGTTTTATTGTCAATAAAATTGATTCTCTTCGGTCATC